TATTTTTTTGTCAGTCATAGGGCCTGACCTTTGGGTCTGGACGCTGTCCCTCAGCTCTTCAGCTCAAGGCACTATATAGCACTCTACCACTTGAGGCACAGCACCACTTCCGGGTTCTTCTGCTTATGTGGTGCTGAGGAATCAAACCCAAGGCCTCCTGCATGCAAGGCAAGCACTCTACTACTGAGTCACCTTGCCAGCCCCCAACCTTCACATTTTGAGCGGTGGGTCTAATGTCAAAACAGATACAATCTTTTATTAATCTGGCAGGAGCATCTGCTCTTTTTCTGTTGTTGTTGTTGGTCATGGGGCTTGAACTCTGGGCTTGGGCGCTGTCCTTGTGCTCTTCAGCTCAAGGCGAGCACTCTATCACTTGAGCCACAGCACCACTTCCGGTTTTCTAGTGGTTTATTAGACATAAGAGTCTCACAGACTTTCCTTCAAGGGCTGGCTCTGAACCATGATCCTCAGATCTTAGCCTCCTGAGTAGCTAGGATTACAGGCAGGAGCCACCAGCACCTGGCTAGCATCTGCTCTTTAAGGGAGAGAACAAGTAATAGAAGTTACTTGGTGGACAAACACATACCAGGCCTAAGAGGATATAGCTCGAGAAAGGACCATTTCTTAAATTTTAACAAATTAAAAGGACCTCTATGGGCCTAAAGTTCTAATAGATGGAGTACTGGATGTGCAATCAGACCTGCCAGTTCAAATTTAAGATCTCTAACTACCTCTGTAAGACTTTAGCTACCTGAGCATTGGTTTCTCATTAAAAATAATTTAGATGTACTTTGAAGAACTGTTAGGAACATTAAATAAGAATGCAAAGCAGTTATGAGAGAGCTCTTACTATAGTGTTAGACCTAAGAGCTTCTATTTGAGCAAATCAGCAGATATAATAATAAGCAGGTAAGTTCTTTCTTTCTTTCTTCCTTTTTGTTTTTTTTTGCCAGTTGTGGGGCTTGAACTTAGGGCTTAGGTGCTGTCCCTGAGCTTTTTCCGCTCAAGGCTAGGACTCTACCACTTTGAGCCATAGCTCTACTTGTGGTTTTCCGGTGGTCCATTGAAGATAAGAGTATCACAGACTTTCCTACCCTGCCAGGCTTTGAACCATAATCCTCAGATCTCAGCTTTCAGAGAGGCTAGGATCATAGGCAGGAGCCACCAGTGCCTGGCAGCAAATCAGTTCTAATTAACCAGTTATACTGATCATAGGGTATTTAGGAGCTCATGCTCCTCTCAGCAGAGGAGAGGAAATGTATTTAATCAATATGAATAGTAAAACTATTCATCTACATATTACCCACTGCAACTTTTGGTATTGGTTTTGCCCTAAATTTCCATATGAGCTGTATTATATAAATAAAGCACTTTAATTGAGTGTAACAATCTGATTCTGCTCAACAACTATGCAAGGGCATCTGGATTGCTCAAAATCATCATAATAGTGGGAAAACTTTGCCTGCAGAATGGTTTTAGAGGTCAGATGCAGGAAATTTCCATAAATGTAGTTTAATTTTCATCCTCCATAGGGCCTCCTCTTTCAGAAAGGGGGTACATTTGTAGGACACCACCAATCCATCCCAGGAAATGTCTTAATTGACTCATTTATATGAAAAATACACAAAATTCTTTTATCTAACAACTCTTCCTGAACAATGTTCTTAACTGTCCTTTAAAACACTTATACCCAAAGCAAAATAATTGAAAGATATACACAAATTTGAAACTTAATTTATTATGTTTAGAGCTGTCTATTAATAGCTTCTTAGTATGTATAGACCTTAACTGAGACTCGTAGGAGCTCATCTAGAGAAAATGAGGTAACTCTTTTTTGAGGTCTTCATTGTTTTTATTCATTACTAGCTCAAAAAAATTTTAGCAAGCCATATCTCAGAAAAACAACAAAGTGCTGAATGTTTCATAAGGATAATATTTAAGCATTCTCTTTATATAAGTAGTAACAAGGTGGCCACTGTTAGCCTCAACTGAGAAAAAAAAATCAACATTCTGCTGTCTAGAGATAGCAAAATCATTTCAGAAGTTGTGAAATTTGATAAATCTCATCAAGATAAGAACAAGGTAAATCTGATTTCTTAGGAAGTCTTCCCGGTATCTGACCTTGAAGAATTAGGAATTTTGTATCCTGGCTTGGCCCCTTCTTAACTATATAACCTTGAGAGCTGCATAAGCGTGATCCTGCATCTGGGAACTTCTGACTAATCTGACAGCACAAGGCTTTCCTTTCTATAGGAACATTACTGGGTCCAGATTCTCTTAATAACTATGTCTACGAGCATGCCAGATAGAGCTTAATGCTTTTCATAAGACTGAACTTAGAAAAAAAATGAAAGTCGCAATGTCAAATTTCTTCAAACATTTTATCTGTCAGGACAGACGAATGCAGGATACAATTCAAGGAAAGCTGGGATTTTTCCCATAGCTTTGGTTAGATACTTCCATAATATTCCTTCCCCCCCCCCCAAACACTAAACAGTGGGAAAACCTCTGTAAGGCCTCTTCAAGGCTTCTGATCTTCCTTCATTTATTTTTACCTAGATGTGAGGTAATAGAGCTTAGTTGTACTGGAGGTAGAATTAACCCATGGCATAAATGTGTTAACTTGACCAGATTAATGGATTTAGTTTTCTTTTCAAGTGTAAGTTTGGTGAGGGAGAATCTGCATAATGAAAGCAATAGGTGGTATAATGCAGATTGGTATTAATTATTAGCAAAAGTTATATCAAAAAGGCTAACATGTACTATCCAGGTAAGATATCCCTGGTAACAGCCTCACTGTTGATATTTAATTGGTTCACACCCATCAAGTTGGACAAGTCTGTCTAACTACACTCTCTGATGGGAAGCCTGCTGGGTTGTGGGGTACCCAGAGCTCCTTCTAGAACAGCTACAGAAAGTGCTGCAGGGGTAAGCTCCCCAAAGATGCCATAGGTCCTCTCTGAACATCTATAGCACCTCCATTTCTGAATGAGTAGGTGAATTTGTGTTTCCTTCTTTCTTTTTTGTGCTGAAGATCAAACAAATTCATCTTGTTTCCTGGCATATGCTAGGAGCTATCTACCGCCGAGTAACCCCCCAGGCCTACCTTGCAAATCTTTGATACTCATCCCAAATGTGGAGCACAAAAACACAAAGGTAAGTGAAAAAACATTCTCTTACCTTCCCTCTTCCTTCCCTTTCAGTTCTTGTTTCTCTTGCTTAGGCCTAGAGCAGGTCTCTCCCATGAGGATGGCACAAAGTTGACAGGAAAGCTAGAACCACAGCCTCATCTGAGCCCCAGCGAGGATGAGGTGTTCTGGATCTTCTTAAGAGCCTCTGAAAGCAGGTATGATGGTACACACCTGTAATCCTGGCACTGAGGCAGGAGGACTGAGCGTTTGAGGCCAGCATGGGCTACCCTACAAGATCCTGTCTCAAAACAAAACAATACACAATGCCTCTGAAGATAGGCATAGTCATATACACGGGCAGTGTTGTGCCATGTTAACAGGTTTAACAGGATTTATCAGATGTTGATTTTACAAGTGTGTCTATACTTGCACACACATATTTGCACAAGTTCTTAATACAATAAGTGCACATGTAGTTCTTGAGGAGCCTACTTCTTCACTCCAATTCCTCAAGGAGGCATGTGCCGAGTGGCATTTAGGATGCCGAGAAACCATTTTTACTCTATCAGGTGTTACTGAAGATCTGCTCTCCTGAGTTTTTAGTGTCATCATTCACTTCAGAACTCTGGAGATGTAAAATACATCAAATAGGTGACAGGTAACAAATTCCATGCAGAGATGGTTATACAGTTAATGAAAAGCCACAATGAACACTGAAACTACAACTTCTGCATCAGTTATTGCTACTTTTAAAAACACTAACATCTGATTCCAGTGATTTCTAATGGCAGTTTCCTCCTGAATCTGTTTAAAACAAAAGTGGAGGCTTTATTTAATGAGGCTGCAGGCTCTGCTTATAGTTAATACAGATCACATTTCAGTCTAAGAGTAGACTGACAAGAAAATGACCATTGACTTTCCACAAACAAAATATCCTTTGGATGTTTAGCAAACTAAAATACTTAATATTTTATATCAAGTTTTCTTAAACCCTTAAAAATCACTACAAAAAACCCACAACAGAATAGTATGCAATATTAAGTTGTAACACTGATTATTATTACTTTTTATATACAGATGGAGGTTTACCAAAGTAATTTCTACTCAGAAAAGATCAACTAGTAAATAAAATTATAAATGTGTAGTAACTAGAAAGTGAACGACATTAGACCTTAAGGCAGCATTGGTTGAGTCTTCTCTGGCAAAGTGTCACATATTTCAATGATCAGCAAATTATTTAGAAGGAATTAAGTGCTAAAATAATGCTTTGAAAAAGAAGTACAACTATTTTTTAAACCCCTGCAAAATGAATTTAAATTGCATTTTAATTTGAGATTAGAAAGCATTCCCAGGAACGTAAAGGTTCAGTCTTTCCTCCAATATATGATAAAGATACTAGAAATTATTATTGATTAGCAATCTTAGGGCTCCTTTTTCACTTATTGTTGTATTTCTAATAACTACTGAACAGTTTTTGGAAGATTCTGTGAGTATTTAAGTAACATGTGGTCAGGATGTTTTACCTGAGTGAAATGATTTTAAACTGCACGAACAACCTGTCATGATGGTTTGGTTTTGCAACTTACATCCTTAATGCTAGGTTTGTTTACTTGGTAGGTTGCCTGAATCATACTGTCCCAAGCACTGGTACCAACCTAAAATAATGACATCTGTGGTGACTGAAACAGTCAGACTTGGATAAAAATATCTCAAAGCTCTTTATCAAATGCATTTGAGGATTTATTTCCTTTGTATTGTGTTTTATGGGGTTTTCCTAGGAAAGCCTGAACATTATTATTTATCCTTTATGTGCTGTATGCCAAATAAACAACTGTATGACAGGAAGAACAAACAAACTCCCAACACGTTCAAATGAAAAGTGCTGTCATGTGGTGCTGAGAACTAAGACAGACGTAGGCACTTCTGCTTCAGGTTTTCACATTTGGATCACAGGTGGCTTTTCCAAGCCCTTTTCTTTCCCTACAAGAATTCCTCTCATAGTACAAACTAGTTAACTGGGAAGCTTGTTCTCACAAACATTCGTCTTGTTCTTTTCTAAAATTCTCTCCACTCACAGCAGAGATGATCTTCCTGCTAAAGTGAGGAGCCTGCCTCTCTGGCTGAGGCTCAAGGTCCTGCCCTGCAGGACCGTGCTATCCACCAAGAAAATGTACAGGAGTGTCCAGTGCAATTTCCTCTAACACGTCTGTCTCTCTCTCCTCTCTCCAGTTCCTTATTGTGAGTTAACTCAACGAAGCGTATAGTCCTCAAAACATTCTAATGCTACTGGCTACTGGGATTTTTTTTTTTTTTTGATGACTACTGAAACTGTTTCCTTTCTCTTTTTGCAGAAAACCTGTGCTAAAAAGGCACTAGATAAAATGAATTCCCTCACTCTTATAGATAATAGTGATAGAAATAAATTCTCATAGAATCTAGGTTCTGTGATTTAACAAAGGTGAAGCACACCTGGATAAAACATCCCAATTATTCAAATCCATCTCCTTTCATGTAAAAAAAACCCCAAAAAGTAAAAACAACAAACTCCGAGTTAGAGGAATAGCAGGCTTCAGGGAATGGAAAGGGCACGCCAGGGTCAGCTTCTGACTCCGGAGGACTCTGCCTTGCTGCTGAGCCTGGTTTTGGCAGCCTGGAGGAGCTCTTGCTGGGAGGGGAGCAGGGCAATGGCCTGGATCCGTGGAGAGAGGGTTCACTGGCAGCAGCTGTGGGAGCCAAGCCTCCTGGAGACCTGAGTAAAGGAGACGAAGGTGAAGTTCTCACAGTTGTCCAGCTTGACTTTCTTGGCTAAATTGGGGACAATCCCCCGAAGGGACCGCAGTCCCATCCTCTGCTCCTCATACCACACACTGCCCATGTCTGTGGCCTCCTTCCTGGCAGTAAGGTAGAAAGGGGACTTGGCCTCCATTTGGGTGGGTGGTCGATGGATGTACATGTACTTGTAGAGGAGGCAGTAAGGGCACTGTTTGTGTCCCCTGGAATGCTCATGGTAGATTTTCCCATGACATACTCGGGTAGAAGTGCTCCGGCTCTCTCGCTTGACACTGTCGGTCCGAGCAAAGTAGGGCTGGTTTTGTGGGTCTTTGAGCAGCTCGATATCACCGTACATGAGATCAGCATGCTCCTGCAGTGTCCGCATGTTCAGGTACTGGCTGTTGTACTTGACTACAGTGGACAGGAGAGTGATGGGGCTGGTATCTCCTAGACATCCAGCCTGCCACATCTCCTCCTCGTCAGAAAGGGAAAAGTAAACAATATTGCGGGAGCGGGCACCAGACATCCCTGCCTTACTCAGCACCCACAGCTTCTCCTTGAGCTTCTTGGTAGATGAGCTGAAGGTACTGCTGGTGATGGAGAAGCCCACCCCTGCGTTCTTCAGGATGCGGTCCAGGCCTCGGCGAATGGCATGGAGCGAGGTAGCCAGGAAGTCAGAGCCATCACTCTTCTTGACGGTGACATAAAAATTCTCAAGCAGCTCATTCAACTTCACTGCAGGGATCTCAAATGAGACAAACACTGAGGTTATACATTTGAGGACACCCCAATAACCAGACCTCTCCTCCTCCTTCTTCCTACTCCTCACCAGAGACTGTACTACAATAGCACATGTTTGGCTTCTAGGAGATTGAGCCCTTACCATCATAAAGCAGAAGGAAGCTGGAAGATCTAGGTTCTACTTGGTTCTCTCTAATGTCTTTTAACCTCAGTGTTTCCATCTCTGAGATAGGCCATAGGAATAGATATATCTTCCCAAAGGATTTAAGTAATGCTAAAAAGTATTACTGACTGGGTGCTGGTGGCTCAAGCCTGTAATCCTAGCTACTCAGGAGGCTGAGATCTGAGGATCATGGTTCAAAGCCAGCCTGGGCAGGAAAGTCCAGGAAACTCTTATCTCCAATAAACCACCAGAAAACCAGAAGCGGTGCTGTGGCTCCAGTGGTAAAGCACTTGCCTTGAGCTGAAGAGTATAAAAGACTTGTAAATACTGGTGGACACATACCTACTGTACACATATACACGCATGTTTTTGCAAATTCATACATACATACATATATATATATATATATATATACACGCACATACACATAAATTACTGTTATTATTGGCTGTGTGTATGTGTGTATGTGTGTGCTGGTCCTGGGGCTTGAACTCAGGGCCTGAGTGCTGCCTCTCTGCTTTTCTGGTCAAACCTAGTGCTTTACCACTTGAGCCACAGCTCCACTTCTGGCTTTCCTAACTGGTGGCTTTGAACCACAATCCTCAGATCTCAGCCTCCTGAGTAGCTAGGATTATAGTCCTGAGCCACTAGAGCTCAGCTTTATTAGCTTTTTGTAATTTTCACTATTTCTCTCTGAAAGGTTCTTTCTTCTCTTTGCTTGCAAATCAATTGTTTCCTTCTCCCTTAATAAAATTCAGTTCTTTCACTAAAGGATTCCTAAACCATAAACTTAAACTCTGAATCACCCCATCATTAATTTCCTTGCAATCTGTACACACTTTCTGGTCCTGTTTTATTAAGCCTGGGCTGTAGTAGAAGATAACTGATTGGGCCACCTTGCATCTAATTAATGATCCTGGAATTTTCACTTGAACTTCCAAGTAGCTCCTAAAATTATCATCAGCTTAATAACCCATAGGAGTTCAATAATAATATGTGTTAAAAAGAAAAACTTAATGACTCTATTGACAGAGCTCTATACATGAGTATAATAGGTAGAGAAGGAAGCTTCGCTTTGTGTTCAGGATGTACTTAAAAAATAGCAAAGTAGGTTTTGCTCAGTTAGGTCAGGCTGAAAAGAGTCACAAAAGCTGAGCACTGGCAGTTCATGCCTATAATCCTAGCTACTCAGGAGGCTGAGATCTGAGACTTGTGGTTCAAGGCCAGGCAGGGCAGAAAAGTTCCTGTGAGGCTCTAAACTCCAATTAACTCAAAAGCCAGAAGTGGAGCTATGGCTCAAAGTGGTAGAGCAATAGCCTTGTCAAAAGAGCTCAGGGACAGTGTCCAGGCTCTGAGTTCAAGCCCCACTACTGACAAAAAGAAAAAAGAAAGGAAGAAAGTCACAATAGGGCGAGTACAAGGAAGGGGTGACATTGTCTAAAAAGAAATGTATTCTTGGGCTGGGAAGGTGGCTCAGTGGTAGAGTGTTTGCCTTGCATGCATGAGAACCTGGGTTCAATTCCTCAGCACCATGTAACAGTAAAAGCCAGAAGTGGCGCTGTGGCTCAAGTGGTAGAGCTGAGAGACAGCACCCAGGCCCAGAGTTCAAGCCCCATGACCAACAAAATTAAAAAAAAATGTATTCTTTACCTGCCGTATGTAGCTGTACTGTAACCTCTCTGCACATTATCTTTATAATAATAATAAACATTTTTAAAAAAAGAAAGTCACTATAAAAATGGTCAGTGTAGAAACTGTACAGTTAACATTTACTTTTCCTATAGCCCTCAGGTTAGAGAAAAATAAAAGCAAATTGCTGATTTAAAATGAACTAAGCTAAAACAAAATGCTTAAATAGGGATACAGGTTGATCCATTGTAACAATGAAATGTACAAGACACTGTTGAAAAATGAACTTTACAATTTAGGCAGGAGTCAGGGGAGTGTAGTTGTGGAGGTAGGAGGGAAGGGATGGTAGGGGAAAAACAAAGGAGGAGGTAACAATGCTTGATAGGAAATGTACTCATTATATTGCTCATGTACTCATGTAACTGCACCCCTCTGTACAGTATTTTTTCCAATAAAAACGTATTAAAAATTAACCAAGCTAAAACATTATATATCAAAATGCATGAAATACTGCTAATTCATTCCAATAATGTAGTCTAGAATGACTTTGTTAGCAAATTTTATTCTCAATCAACAAACTAGACAAACCAAATTCAAAAATAGTAGAGTAAGCCAACAGAAACAGATATATAAATCAGTGAAGTGGGAAAAATAAAAATTGGGTCAGATAAAGAAAATGCCATCTTTGAAAAGATCTATAAAGTTGACAAACTTCTAGGAAGGCTGACAGAAAGAGAAGAAAGGAGGAAAGAAAGTATATAATAAGCAATCTTAGGATTATCCTAGGGAATACTTACAGCATATGTATAACCTAACTTACATTACCTTTCTTTAAAGCAAATGCACATATTGCCAAATGTGGCAACAATGAAAAGATCAGAATACCTCCAAGAAAGAGAAGTTAGAAGTATTTTGTAGGCAAGAACTACAAAATTGATAACCACAATGAAAATATTAGGATCTATGGGGCAGGATGAGCACATTGAGTATCACTGTTCTTACACTATACTGTTCTGGAGGTTTTCAGCAGGGAGGTAAGCCAAAAGAAAGAAATCCCCCCACCTCTCCACTACATGTCACACCCATGCATGCACACATATGTATATATGCTTACCCATATAAAGGAAAAAGACAAAATACTGGTAATCTGTTTCTCTAGGGAAGTAGAACATACTCAGTTGATAAGCTACTAGAAAACCTAGGGTAGTTGTACCCAAAATATAAGAATCAAAATAAGCAATTAAAACAATTTTCAACAACTATTACACTCAAACTCAGCTGGCTTGGGTATATACAGTATCACCTGCAACTCTTGACTTCTCAGGGTAACCTCTCTTCATATAATTAGGACTCTTGGTTGCAAGAAACTTGAACAAGCCTGGGTACAAAGGGATATTAGAAATAGGAGACTCTAGGCCAGCAGGACTCCTGCTAAGTCTCATCTGTGTACAGACTGGCTGTCTCCACAGAGCTGCAAACACAGCATTCCTTAAGGTTTATATCTTCAGGCAACTCTTTTTTTGTTGTTTGTAGGAAAAAAAACTTGAAGAAGACTTTGATTGGCCCATGCTTTACCCAAACCATTCACCAATAGGTTATCCACTATATTTGATGTGATGGTTGCTCTAATAACCACATAGCACCACAGTTTCTACATAAATGGTGCTCAGCAGTTTTGGCTTTTTTTTTTTTTTAAGATAAAAACAGAGTCTTTCTTTCTTGCTTTCCTGCTTTCATTTATTTTTTGTCAGCCATGGGCTTGAACTCTGGGCCTGAGTGCTATTCCTCAGCAATTCAGCTCAAGGCTAGCTAACACTTTACCACTTGAGCCACAGCACCACTTCTGGTTTTCTGGTGGTTTACTGGAGATAAAACTTTCACGGCCTTTCCTGCCCGGGCTGCCTTTGAACCACAATTCTCAGAATTTTAGGTGTGAGCCACCAGTGCCCAGATAGATAGGGTTTTTCTAAGTAGTCCAACTTGGCCTTGAACTCCGAGTCCTCCTGCCTCTATCATCTCAGTGCTGGGATTAAAGAAATTTCTCTCCATGCTTAACTCTGAAGCAGGTAGTGTGTGTGTGTGTGTGTGTGTGTGTGTGTGTGTGTGTGTGTGTGTGTGTCTGTGTGTCTGTGTCTGTGGTACTGAGGTTTGAACTCAGGATCTTGAACTTGCTAGGTAGGCACCTTACCTCTTGAGCCAACTCCTCAGCTTTAGGAAAACATTACTTTTTAACCTTACTGCTTCAAACAGAAAACAAAAACAATTTTTGTTCATGGACTGAAAGACCTACTATTGCTAAAATGGTAATAATGGCCCACATTATCTACAGATTAAAAACCCTATCAAAATTCCAGCTTTTTTTTTTAATAAATAGAAAATGGAGCTGGGTGCTGGTGGTTCATACCTATAATTGTAACTATTCAGGAAACTGAATTCTGACTCTGCTTATACTCAGTATGTGCAAATCAAAACACATTAGCCTTTAGTTCTGTCTCTACAATGTTTCAAGATTTTTTTCCTACCATTTACAAATCTCAAGTATTTCAAGTTAGAAGATACCTTTTTTTTTAGTTAAAAAAATTTTTTTTTGTGGGTCATGGGGCTTTAACTCTGGGCCTAGACACTGTCCCTCAGCTCTTCAGCTCAGGGCTAGCACCCTATCACTTGAGCCATAAAGCCACTTCTGGCTTTTTCTGCTTATATGGTGCTGAGGAATCGAACTCAGGGCTTCATGCATGCAAAGCAAGTGCTCTACCACTGAGCCACCTTCCCAGCCACTAGAGAGATCTTAAGAGCTCACTTTTTTTTTTTTTTGGTCAGTCATGGGGTTTGAACTCTGGGCCTGGGCGCTGTCCCTCAGCTCTTCAGCTCAAGGCAAGCACTCTACCACTTGAGCTACAGTGCCACTTCCGGTTTTCTAGTGGTTTATTGGAAATAGGAGTCTCACGGTCTTTCCTGCCTGGGCTGGCTTTGAACCACTATCCTCAGATCCCAGCCTCCTGAGTAGCTAGGATTACAGGTGTGAGCCACTGGCGCCCAGTGAGCTCACTTTTCAAAGATAGAAAATGAAGACCAAAGATATTAAATAACTTTTTGTTCGTTCCCTTTTTCCCCTGAAATATCACTTTCATTTTTATCCTTCCTGCTCAAAAAAAAAAAAGCAAACAAACAAACTTTAATGGTTCCTCTCTTTTGCCTAACATTAAGATGCTTGAAGCAAAAACAGGAAACTTCAGTGATTTCCCAAGTTTCTAAGACTCTTACTTTAGCAGGGAAAAATTATAAAAATCTGGTTTATAGTCTCCTTATACACACTCTCAGTTGTATGTAGTTCTTTTCCTTGAAATTTTACTCTTCCCCATATCATACAGTCTTAAAGTCTGCTGTCCTCCTCTAATTCTACTGAAATCCTACCTCTCCATCAAAATATGGCTTAAAGATTAAATCTCTCTAGTATCATCAAAATGAAATGTAACTCTCTGAATATTTCTGGTCTATAAATAATTCTGGTCTATAAACTTTCTAAAGTCTGCTTTTGTACTGTAGACATTTTTCTTTGCATTACAATTGTTCTTTCAGTTTCCCCAGTCAGAAAGCAACTGTTCTGTTTCCTACAATGCTTAGCATAGTGTCAGGCACCAGAAAGGTCAGTGAAGTTGGCAGGAAGAAGAAATAAACCCAGGATCCCTTACCTTGGTGATGTCTGTGTGATCTTTGAGCCCGTTGGTCATGCACCAATATCGCCACACATTCAAGGCATACCGTGTGGCTTTGGTGGTGTTTGGGCTTACTGCACTGGTACACAGATCATTCAATTCATCGTTAATATTAAATACAGGAAATTTGTTGAGCTTAGTAGAATAAGCTAGAAACAAAAACAATAAAAGCATTAAAATGATTTTCCATTCCCTCTTTTGGAGAATTACAGCTTGGGATCATGTTAAATCACAAAGCCTATTAAAAGATATTTTCTATCAAATATATATGAATTCTCTCTATATATAATAAAGCAGGAAAAAAGGGAACTGATGCAGTAATCTTTCACTTAATCCCAATTATTTTACACATATACTAACACAAGCATTTCAATAATAGGAGGAAAGTTAATGCTGGAAAAAGTTATATTTTAAGTTTTCACCAGCGGGAACAACACAATTAAATGGAATATGAAGGATAAGAGGGGGAAGTACAGATGGAGAAAAGAGAAAGAAAGAGAAGGAAAAAATGACCTTAGTACAGAGAAGAGTTGTCATCTGTAATATACAGTCTCAAAATGACTGGTGTGCTGCCATCATCAGCCTTGAAGCTAATGGTGTTAGCACGTTTGCTTAATTCTTTTCAGAAATTAATAAAGACAGATAATTTGCTCTGTATGACTTATCAACTAGTTTCCAATCAAAATGGACAGTCAAGTGACAGGGAAAGAGAGCATATTCTAAACTACCAAAAACCAAACCATTCATAGCCAGTGCTTACACTTTAGTATTTCTTTGTGCTCTGTGATCTGTTGAATCCAAACCTAATTTTACCCCAAATCTTTCATGTTTGATAGAAAAGAAAAAAATCAATGTAGACCACCTCAACGTGAAAACACTGCCAGCCTATACTTTAACATTCTGATAATCTCTGGAATACATACTCAAACAGAAACTGACTAGGCTTCTGAGAAATAGCAAAATAAATACTACATGCCATTTCATGATGACCTGCAAGTTACTTTCACTTTACCTGTCCATTTGTGCTCCCTCTGAGGGGTTTCTCTATACCAAACCACCAATCTCCTAAGAACGAATCCAGTAGTCTCTGCATATAGGGCTCCTACTCACATCCTGAATAATGTTCGCTTTGTCCTTGTGCTAGACAGCATACTTTTTTTTTTGTTTAGTTCCAGATTCACTTATCTCTAATCTTTCTGCTTACTAATTCAACCTCTACAGTCTCCCCTTTAGAGTATGCTTCACAATTTCCTTACTCTTCCTGAGGACTGTGTCAGATCTCTCTCTTCAATTGGTTTGTATGTACAGAGGACAATGCCTATGCCCTTGATACACATCCTGATTCTGGGTTCACACTTTGGAACGCACATACACACATATGCTTTAATTTACCCAGCGTTCCCATTACTAGTGCAGTAAATAATGGGGGAATCATTCTCTGAAGCATCTGAGTTATGCAGACATATTCCTCTTACCCTCCTCATCCATTAACTTTGTTAACTACTATTTGGAGAACTTGCTTGATATTAATGAAAGAATTTTATATAAAACTTATTATCATACCAATCACTAATTGAATGCCTGGTATGTGCCAAGAAGCTTTACATAAATTAGCTATAATCTATAGTGGAACACATAATTTTGTCTTTCATTTTTATTTTTGTCAGTCATAGGGCTTCAGTTCAGGGCCTGGGTGCTGTCCTTGAGCTTTTTTGCGCAAGGCTAGTGTTCTACCACTTTGAGCCACAGTCCCACTTCTAATTTTCTGGTGGTTAATTTGGAGATAGTTTCATCAACTTTCCTGCCCAGGCTAGTCTTGAACTACTGACCTTATAGGATTACATGTATGAGCCACTAGTGCTAGGCTTATTATGCCTATTTTATAGACAAGGAAACTGAACCTTATACATTTAAGTAACTTCATACATTGACTCAGGCAGTATTTAGTGAGGTCCCCTCAGTGCAAATCCCTGGGCTACTTAAGCGGTAGTGTTTGGAAAAGGCAAAGTCAGGACTTGGACTGGGGTTGACTCTGCTCTGGATACTACAAGATAGGGATCAGGTACTATAGGGTAAAATTCCCAGTTGATACAAGTTAGATATTATTATCTATTTGTGCTTAAGAAAATATCTTGTTCTGAGTTGGGAAAGTGGCTCAGTGGTAGAGCACTTGCCTTGCATGCTCGAGGCCCTGGGTTCGATTCCTCAGCACCACATACGCAAAAAGAAAAAAGCCGGAAGTGGCACTGTGGCTCAAGTGGTAGAGCGCCTTGAGCTGAAGAGCTGAGGGACAGCGCCCAGGCCCAGAGTTCAGGCCCCACGACCGGACCCAAAAAAAAAAAAAAAAGAAAGAAAATATCTTGTTTTCCAAACTTTCTCAAATTAACCTTTACTTTGGACAACTGACTCATTCTAACAACTACTACAGTTTCACACAAGATGATTAAGTTTAATGGTAACACTAAACAACTACACAGTGTTAAATACTTTCACTTGCTTCATTTTTTTTATCAGAAACAGGGACTGTACATGAAAAATGGAAACCAAAATCCAAATCGATAGTTGTATAAAGAATGCTTATGTGCATACACAAAGAGAAAGGAATTGTGTGAAAACAACTATATTGTTCTTTCATGGTTAGAGTTCATATTAAATTACATTTACGTATTAACACATGGCTTGAAAAAATCTTGGCAGTAGAAATTGCCATGATATGCTGTTGAGGAAACTTTTAGGAAATTATATTGCTGGAGAAATACACTGACTAAAGGAAAGAGGGGGACTATTAAGGGAAAACTTGAGAGTGTTTCCAAGGTAGGAAGAGCTGGGAGTGGGAATGGACCACAGGATATGGTGTAGTCTAAGGACTGCCTGATATGACCTTACAACATTTCCCACTAGCACAGATGGTAGCACACAGTTGTGTGACGTGAGGAGAATCTGCTGCAGAAGGCTACGTCTAAGGTCACAGTGAAAAGTGAATATTGCCCCAGGTAACTCTGGAAGTTCAAATGGACCCCCAGGACAAAAGAAAAGCAACAAAGAATACCCTGAATGCACATGTATCTCACATAACACTTTTTTCTCCTTCTATCTACAACTGAGTTCTCCACATCCCAGCTTGCAGCCAGTGAGTGCTTTGAAATCAAACCTCTTTATGGACACTTCTTCAGTGACTGATGAAGGCTGGGCGAAGCTCACCTGAACAGCACTGTGGTCAACTATTAACTGCAGAAGTAGGCTCAGCCCAAATGTCTCAAATAAGAACTTCTAATAATATTTAACAAAATTCCCATCAGCTACCAACAATAATAATCTAGACCTCAATTTTAAAGGGTGAGCACACAAATTAATATGACCTGGAAGTTAGGGAAAATCAAAGTCATCAAAGTCACAAGCCTTATACTACATTCTCTATACACATCTCCCTACCACTATTAGTTCATTCAGGAAATAAACAAAAAATCACAAACATATTATTAGAATGATACAAGAGCAGAATTCATCTTTTAATAAAGAGTAGACATCACTGTAAAGGAAGAAATAGGAAAAATAGATATTGGAAAACTTAAATATGCATATAAAATATAAATACATAAGCAAAAGTATATATTTACATATAATGAATAATTAACTTCTGAAGAAAGGGGGAAAATCTATGGGATTATATTTCAAACTGAATGACAACTAACATACCAATGATCTAAGATGCTGTTAATTGTATCTCTAAACAAAAGATAATAGCATTAAATAGATTTGAGAAGTATGGTTGAATATCACCAAGATTATTACAAAAAAACCCAACAAACATAAGTATACTCAGAAAGTAGGAGAAAGGAAATAATAACAAAAGTCAGTGAACAGGAAGGACATATATAAATTTTTAGAAAAGTAATGTTACATGAAAATTTAAAAAGATGAAATTTTTTTTGGGGGGTCCAGTCGTGGGGCCTGAACTCTGGGCCTGGGTGCTGTCCCTCAGCTCTTCAGCTCAAGGCTAGCGCTCTACCACCTGAGCCACAGCGCCACTTCCGGCTTTTTTCTTTTTGCTTATGTGGTGCTGAGGAATCGAACCCAGGGCCTCGAGCATGCAAGGCAAGCGCTCTACCACTGAGCCATCTTCCCAGCCCCTAAAAAGATGAAATTTGAAAACTGTAAAGATTAAAAAAGAGAAAAGCAGCCGGGCACTGGTGGCTCATGCCTGTAATCCTAGCTACTCAGGATGCAAAGACCTGAGGTTCTCGGTTCAAAGCCAGCCCAGGTAGAAAAGTCTGAGATTCCTATCTGCAATAAACTACTCAGAAAAAACCAGAAGTGGCGCTGTGGCTTAAGTGGTAGAGCATTAGCCTTGAGCACAAAGAATCTCAGGGATAGTGTCCAGGCCCTGACTTCAAGCCCCAGGACTGGCAAAAAAAAAAAAAAAGGGGGAAATATATAAAAATGAAAGGAGGATTATCACTACAGATCATACAAATAGCTTAAGACACTGCATAAGATATTATGAATATCTTGATGCCAATAAATCTGAAAATTTGGATGAAATGTACAAATATCTAGAAAGTTCAAAGCTTTAACAAATAAAAATATAAAATTTGAATAGTTCTTTATAAAAAAAGAAACTGAGTACAATTAAAAAGCCCATCAAAAAACCAACAGATGCAAATGGATTTCATCAGTAAATTTTTTTAGCATTTAAGAAAAATAACGTCAAATCTATAAGACTCTGCTAGTTAAAAAAAGTGATAACTTCCTCATAAAATTACAAGAACTAGTGGGATGCTGTTGGCTCATGCCTTTAACTTTAGTTACTTAGAAGGCTGAGATCTGAGAATTGTGGTTCTAAAGCCACTCCCAGCAGGAAAGGCTGTTGAGACTCTTGTCTCCAATTAACCACCAGAAAACCAGAAGTGCAGCTATGGCTCAAAGTGGCAGAGGACTAGCCTTGAGCACAAAAGCTCAGGGACAGTGCCAAGCCCTGAATTCAAACCCCAGGCCTGGTACACACACACATATATATATACACACACACACTACAAGAATGAAATACAATTACAAAAATCATTACAACAGTAAGAGAAAACTGAATCCCTACCTTATAAACAATAACAACAAAAATGTAAATGACCTGTGAACTAAATTTGAATGGCAA